CTTTCGAGATTAATCCTCTTCTACTGCTCGCCGTTTTTTCCATCCCGATAAAATATCCATACGAGGCCATCAAAATATAGCTATCAAAGTAGAGTATGCTGAATAGTCTTGCGTTCTATAGTCAATTTTTGCTGCAGAGCAACATCTTCCCGTGTTGCATAAAAACTTTTAAAAAAGCGGAAAAAAGCGTTCGTTTTACAACCACTGAGCTTGCATATTCCACTTGTAGTTGCAGATTCCAGGACAGCTTAAGTATATTAAACACATGTATTATTGTTTGTATATGGATTCCACAAATGGTTCCGAATTCCTCAAATTTTGTTGTGGGTTCCACAAATTTTACTTCGGATTCCGCAAAGTTGACTGTTTTTGGAGCGATTTCGAGCAATACAGATTTTAAGCTATTTGTCCTAATCCAAAACAGCAAAAAAGATCAGAGAAAAGTAGCAATTTTGCGGATTTCTGTTTTTGGCCTGTTGCCGAATCCGCTTCCAATTCTCAAAATGCACAGCTTGGCTTCTTTATGAGCTAGTTTGAATGCCGATATTAGCAGCAGCAGAAGTCAATTGAGCTATAACAGTTTGTAAAATAGCTGAACAGTCGATAACAAAAAGTATACTGTTGGCATGGTCTAAGTCAACTACACACAGTCCTTGTGAAACGCAAATGACCTGAACTACAATTTTTTGTGATTCAGACAATCACTGATTTGAATTGCTAGAGCGTACAAGAAAGCCGGCATTTTACTCTATTTGTCACTATTTGTCAACGCAGAACGGGTCATAAGCTCATCATACACTCTCACTTTACATCCTAAACTTGCATGATCATTAATTTTGTACTGATGTTTTTTGGTGAACTTATAGTCACCTTGGTTAAATCATTCTGGTTGCCAAATTTTTTCCAAAGTGTCCCACTTTGGTATAATTTTACGACATCCATTTTTGGTTGACCAACCTGAAAATTTTTCCAAAGGCGCTTATGGCACCAAAACAAATAATATTGAGGAGGGGGGGGGGGAAGCGCGCGTCGAAAAACGCAGTTTTCTAGTCAACATTTTCCAAAAATGGCCTATAAACGCCTTTTCTGGCCTGTTTTTTGGAAAAAATTGTCTGCGGCGCAGAAAATTTTGACAACATATGGTCTTTATAGTATTTTCGGTTGACCGAAAGTGAAATTGGTCAACCTAGTACTAAAAAAATCAGGCAACTTTTTCAAAAATTTTCGAAAAACCGCCCTTTCCCCTAAAAACTTTCCAGCAAACGCCACTGGTCACAATGCTTCTTTTTCAAGCCCATAAACTTTGACTCATCAGGTTTTACATCTTTTATAACTTGTTTTCAATGTTGTACCGGCTCTATAGCTCACAAAATAAAAAAATTGTATCTGATTGCAAAAAAAAATACATTAATTTTTTTTTTTTACTAAACACAGTCATCGTTTTTAATGCTTGATGCTTTCTTAAGCAAGAACAATTTAACGTTTCAATCATTTTTAAGCATACAGATCATACAATTGCTTAAAAATTTCATCTTCAAATCTAATGTTAAGAAACTCAAACCGAAGACTAAATATTTTTTGAAAAACTTACTGCTTATTACATCAACGAGTTCAACTTTTTTTTTGCACAGACGAATCTTTTGCACATTAAAAACTCTTAGCCCATTTTTAGTCATATCATTTTTGTAGACCCTAAAAATTGCAGGTTGAAAAATACTCTTCAAATAGGCATGGTGAATTGATTTCAGTTATGAATTGACATTTTATAATTAATTATAATGAATAAAAAGCATTTGTTTTTAATTTTTAACCGCAGTTGAAAGTTATTGTTTTTATAGCTTTCAAATTCTTGTTGATAATTGTACGCCTTAGTTCTAATCGATGGCTCAAATTTAACAAATAAAATTCACCTTTAAATTCCCCAAAAAAGGTCACCAATATTTGTTCCGATTTTCAAAGATTTGCATCTCTTGTAACTTGTTTTTAAGCACTCGCTTGTTTTTAAGCGCTAAATCATAGTGAAAATTTTCAGATTCCTTGATATCTTTGTTTTTTTTTTCATTTTTTGATAAGACCGATGATCTGGCGTCATTATCCGATGCTAGTTTGGGTGATACCGCCGCTACCGCAACAACTCGCAAGAAAAGACAGCTCCCAAGAAAAGAAAACTCGCAAGAAAAGACAACTCGCAGCAAAAGACAACTCGCAAAATTTAAGGAAAGCGACTACTCGCAAGTATTTGAAGCTAATTGTAAGCTTTAAATTCTCGGTTTAAGGTCGCCGGCGGGCGCGTTACGCGCACTTCGCCGCTTCGTGGCAATAACCGGCTCTAAATTTCGTATTAAGTCCTACCCTCTGTTGGCAAGCTTGCAACACGTTGGCGCGACTGCGGCGGTGAGTATATTGCGGATCGTCTTTTCTTGTGAGCTGTCGGATTACGGATAGCGCAATCGTCTGCGGTGACGGTTCCTTGAAAGCGACTATTGCTCCCCTTTCCGGTCATGTTTTTGAGGTTGAAGCCGTACTTCTTGCTGCTTTAGGCTACGAGTTTGGCTTGGCAGGGGTTTTTGGCTGAGAACGTTTCTGCTTATTTGTCTTTGCTTATTTTAACTTGAGCTGCACCAGATTTCTTATCCGTTATTTTGCGATAAACAGGACCACTAGAAAGGTTGTAAATTTTATATGCCATGTTTTCCAAACAGTTGAAATTAGCAAAATAATCCAGCTTGGAAGCAATCGGGTATAAGCTAAATTAATTAGCTAACAACAACAGCCATCAAATAAACAGAGCAATTAATTGACAAACAGGAAGCATTTACCTTCAAGTACAAACTATTTGGATTTTAAATGTTGTCGGATTTTTCTGCTCGTAAACTGTAAAACAGATGCAATTAGCAAAATAATCCAGCTTGGAAGCAATCGGGTATAAGCTAAATTAATTAGCTAACAACAACAGCCATCAAATAAACAGAGCAATAAATTGACAAACAGGAAGCATTTACCTTCAAGTAAAAACTATTTGGATTTTAAAGGTTGTCGGATTTTTCTGCTCGTAAACTGTAAAACAGATGCAATTAGCAAAATAATCCAGCTTGGAAGCAATCGGGTATAAGCTAAATTAATTAGCTAACAACAACAGCCATCAAATAAACAGAGCAATAAATTGACAAACAGGAAGCATTTACCTTCAAGTAAAAACTATTTGGATTTTAAATGTTGTCGGATTTTTCTGCTCGTAAACTGTAAAACAGTTGAAATTAGCAAAATAATCCAGCTTGGAAGCAATCGGGTATAAGCTAAATTAATTAGCTAACAACAACAGCCATCAAATAAACAGAGCAATAAATTGACAAACAGGAAGCATTTACCTTCAAGTAAAAACTATTTGGATTTTAAATGTTGTCGGATTTTTCTGCTCGTAAACTGTAAAACAGATGCAATTAGCAAAATAAGCCTGTATATATGTTTTTTAATGTGCAGTTAGCTAGAACAGTATATTTGCTGGTCATAGACAGGGCCGCCACCAGAAGGCCTACATAACGGTCCCAACCAGCAGCATTGCTTTGGGCGAAGAAAAAAATTCCTTGGGCGCCAATATACAGTAATTTTGAGTAAGCGCGACTTTTTGGTCAAAGTTTTTCAAAAAGTGCCTAAAAATGATTTTTTACTTGTTTTTTTTTCATATGGCCAACACGGGGTCTTTTGAGTACATTGGGAGAGCTCGGAAAATTAATTTGGTTAACCTAAAAAAAAGGTCGACAAAAATTTCAAACACGTTCTGAAAATCCGCTCCCCCTCGAGAAATTCCCAGATTCGCCTCTAGATATATATACTAGAAGTGCGCGCCGAAAAACGCAACATTTTGGTCGACATTTTCCTAAAACAATCTAAATCACTTTTTACTCGTTTTTTTTCAAAAAATTGCTTGAAACGCAGATAATTTGGTTCAACTGAGGTCTTTAGATTGGTTTGGAGAGCTCGGAAAATCAATTTGGCTGAACTGAAGAAAAAGGCTCACAAAATTTTCAAGAATTTAAAATTCCTTCTCCCTCGAGTAATTCCTTTATCTGCCCCTGTAAGGATGCCTCTGAAATATCTGATCAAATATTCTCCAAAGCCCAGCGAGAAAAAAGAGTTTAATTATTTATTCGAAAAAATTGGTACTGTTTTTTCAGCGAACACCAGCAAGCATGAAATAAAAAATGAAAATTCCATTACATTCGTTACAATGTCGGAACAATAAGCAAGTCGCTTAATTAACTTTTGAACCGATGAATTTGTACCGAACTATGGGTTATCATATTCGAAACCCAACGGGATTTTTTTTTGATGCTAGTGTAATCGAAAACGCTACCTAGACGTCAATTCGAAACTGTTGCCTCTATGAGCTACGGAGATAAGAGCTCATCGAACCTTTTAGCTTCCTTGATTCGGATTCCAATTTTTTGAAATAGACTGAAATATTGAAAAAATTTCAGTCTCTAGATATAGGGTAAAAATTGGTTTGAATTAACTTTAAACTAGTTTTTTCTGTTGTTTAAGATATAACTAGACTTCATTCACTCATTGCTCTATTCAAATTGCACAATTCTTACTCACATAAGAAAAAACATTAAGAAAAATTAAACACTGCTCGAAACATGTTGAAGCGTTGAATACTACTACTGGCACATTAAAATATTTGATTGCTTTTGGTCATGAGAATTGATGAAAATTGGCTAAAAAATTGATAAAAATTATAAACGAAGCTTCTGAAGGTTTTTTTCTGAAGGTGCTGCAGATCGTTTCTACCAAAAAAAAATTGTTACAAACTTCAGGGCATTCGAATAATTCAGGTCATTGCACTGATTTCAGCGGTCAATTTTAGATCCAGTTCAATTTTGTACCATTTAACTGAGTCGCAAATACACCAAGCATGGTCGGCCATACGTTCAATATACGGTCGGTTTGCGTTACAAAACGGAAAAAACAAGCTTTTTGCGCGATTTTAGTCAATGTGTACAAACACGTTGTGTTTTATAGCTTTTCTTTTCATGTTTTAGACAGTCGATTTGCAACACTACTTTACTAAATTTGCATGTTCAATTTATAATTCTTAACCACAAAAGTCAAGTTGCGTTCTTCGCTCCAACTGAGATAAAGCGAACAAAAAAGTACAGTTGAAAAAAATAACAAAAATGTCAGAAATTGACTGGGATGCTATTAGAGCGAAACTTCCGACCGACAAAAATCCAGGGGACAAAGCCAGAAGGAAGCAGATGTTTAACGAATTCGACAATGGTTAGAATTAGAAATATCACGCAACACTTTCTAAATTTTTGATCTACTTTTTTCGTCCAAATAGCTAGTTCGATCTAATTTTTTCGTCCAAAAGAAACTCCTCAACTGAACCAGAGAACCTTTGCAGTTTAAGGCTAACTTATTGTTTTGTCATTTTCTAGGGGGGGGGGGCTATTCTCTATGACAGAAAGATACCGAATGCACAGAAATTTTCAACCAATCAACACTCTTTGTACTGTCTAAAAATATCTAAGCTTCCTGTTCAGGTTTTGACATACTGAATTCTGATGGGCTAGTAAAACTTTCTCTTAGTCGGTCCATCAAGCGATGATCGTTTTCTTGGTGCTCGCTGCGAGGTTCACTTGAAGATCATCTGAAAGTTCGCAAAGATTTCAATGAATTTTGCGAGCAAAAATTTTGTCAATGAAGAAAGTTGTCATAATATTGCACATTTTAACGGCAAAAACGATCGCAGTCCATACTGCTCCGCGCTCTTTTTAAGTTATATTATTTTCTGTTCATGTTGTCTGATTGTTACGAAAACTCGATTGATACGAAAACACGTTAACTTGATACCACAAAAAACTGTGGAATCAAGTTAACATCCTGCCCCCCCCCCCCCCACCTCAAATAGACACAGTTAAGATCCTCCACCCGAGAGTTCAATTTAAATTAAATTTGCTAAGCGCTGCGTGTAAAATGCTTTATTCTGATTTGCTGAAAATTTGAACTCGGCTTTGGGGGGGGGGGGGGGAGCAGGATGTTAAATTGGTCCAAATTTGGTGATTGCCTAGGTAACGGAATACTGAGTCTAGCAGAAGTGGACAAGGCTATCAGAGATGTTCTGTGCATTGATGAGCTGTTCGATGCCAAACCGGCCATCATGAGGGCATTCCAACATGCGAAGAGTGTGAGTAACAAGGGAGACGCGAAAGATGACTACATCGAGTTCATAGAGTTCCGACAGTTCCTCCTAGCTCTCAGACAGGTGACAAAAACAATATTAGTAATAAAAACTATATTTATTATAACAAGAGTAGCCGGTTGCAAAAAAAGGCTCAGTGCAAAACAATAATCTCATATCAAAAAAAAAAAATTCGAAAAAAGTCCATTTTTTTCAATTTTTTTAAATTTTAAAAATTTAAATTTTTTTTTTTGAAATAATAAGATAAATCAACAAACTATTTCCTGCCTACAAAACATTATAAGCAATCACTAATTTGTTCAAAGCAAAAAATCATTCATTGTTGAAATGAAACTTCGGCTAAACTTTAGACCGTTGAAATTTTAATCCGTCTGAAAATTAAAACTTCCGCTACCCAAAATTTTTTTGAAATAACTTTCTGAAATCTGAATAACGACCAAAGAGGTATTAATATGATGCGGACCATTGATGAAAATAATGAAACTTTGAAATTTCCAATTAATAATCCTATTAAAACTAATTGAAAAAAGGGAGGCGAATCTGGGCGTCCCAAAAGCAAGTAAAAAATGGCATAAAGGATCTTTAAAAGAAAACGCAAAGATAGTCAATGAGTTTTTGAACATTTAGAAATTATACTGTCGTTGAGAATCGAAACCGGCCTTCTTTTGGCGGAGGCAACTGCACCATACCTTCTGCGTGTCTCCAAACAACAGCCTCAAGAAAAGCGTATAAAAAATGCTGTTAAAATTCCAAATAGAGTTAGAACTACACAGATATTGAAATTGAACTTTTACATATTTTCTTTTTTTGATTAAGAAAATAAATGTGAAAAATGACGAGGTGGTAAAATAGGAGGAGTTAAACCATTAACCCATTAGTATACCCATGGATAAACTGGGGGAGGGTGGAGTGGATATAGTTCAACCATAGGAATCAACCCTTAACCCCTCTCCCCCCGTTCAACCATTAACCCCCCGCACTGGAGTTTCATGGATTATAATCAAATATTATGATTTTTCCTTGTCAGTCTCAATACATTTCAAATATAATCGCGATTATAATCGATTATAAAGGATTTTTTAAGAGTTTATCGATAAAACCTGCAAATTTTTTCAAAGATACCTCATTTAATGTTACACGTTTCATAAATTTTTACTGTTCACGTGATATTTTATAGCTTCATTTTCTCTATTTTTCAGTTTGGCAGTTTAACATTTTGTAATTGTCTTTTTACCATCGCCATGGTAAAAACCGCCATTCTCCCATTTTTACTATCGGGGAGGGGGGTCTCAATGGTTGAACGGGGGTGACTAAATGTAAATTCCGTCACCTCTTCTAAACTCCCGTCCCGTGAAACTCCAGTGCTCTTCCTCCAATTTGGACGCTCGGCAATATTGGCAGTTAAAGGAATAGCGATTTGGCGGCTGGGTGAATGGCAATTTTGGTTAACAAAATTTTACAAACTGTTAAGCTACCATGAAGTAAGAATTGAAAAAGTAGAAAAAGATAAATAAGTCTAAGATCTGCGCAAGATATAAACTTTTAAATGTAAGAAATTCTGAAACTTAATAGATATCAATTGCAGAAAACAGGAAATGAGATAAAATGTAAATTTCATCTATAATTTCTCAAAAGAGGCGTTATGACCTGTTACAATCGATTATAATGGGTTATATTGACATAAAAAGTTTATAATTAAAATCCATTTTTAATGGATTATATAATCGAGTTTTTTTTGTAATGCTATAGGTACTGAATATAAACACTTATATAAACACAAAAAAAACTAACATGAACCATGAGCGCTCGGTGCCGTTACTTACTACAAAATATATTCATTGATTTAAAACTATTTTTTGGACGAGTTTCACTGCACAGTTACTTTCAAAAAGCTTCGGCTTTCTGTGACAAAAAAAAACATCAAAATTGTTATTATTAACATTTTTAAGGGTGGTGTGCACACAAAATTTTTGAAAAATTTCAATTAGCAGAAGAGGGTTCAAAATCTTGAAAATGAAAAATCAGTAGCGTTTCCCTCTGTCTTCAACCAGGGTTTCAAAAGAGCTACAAATAGTGTAACAACAACAGTAAATTGGTTTATTTCAGTACTTCGAGTACTATGTGGCGTTCCAGCGAGTCGATTCCAGTGGCGACAAACGCATAGAGCTGGTCGAGTTCCAAGCTGCCATCGGGAAACTGGAGACATGGGTGGGGACTATCGACAACCCCGAAGAGGAGTTCAAGTCTATCGACACAAACGGAGGGGGGTTTATTCTGTTTGACGAGTTCTGCAACTGGGCTATCGCTAAGAACCTGGATTTGGAGGACGACGATGATTAACTTGGAAAAACATTATAATCTGTTTATAAATAATCCCCTCCCTTTATAAACATTTGTGTAACAAAATATGTAAAGCGATGGATCTTAAAATAAATACAGCCAGACGGATTGAAGCTTATTGTATTAAAAATTTCATAATACCAATTTTATCACTTTGGGCTGGACGAGATTTTCATAATCAAAACATCTTCTGTTTGGCTGCGGTAGATACATGTCATCAATTTACTAATTAAAGTTAAATCAATTCTTCAACTGCGGCACAGACTTATATCTCATATATAATGCTATTTAATTTAGGAAACAATTAAAAGCTGAACTAGCCTTTAATTGTGCGCTACAGACAATGTTTTACAAGAAATAAAAATTCATTTCTTGAAAAGTTTCTATGAAAAAAGTGATTTTCGTTGAAATTGATTTAACCAGCTTGTTGTTGTACGTTAAATATTCGAGAAAAAAGAAAACATAAAAAATAGTAGCCTCACCCGGGTTGACCAAAATCTTATTATACAATTCAATACTATAGAAAAAATACTTACATACAACTTGAGACAATTCCATAGATTCAAAAACATTGTACGAAATCACAAGATAAGAATTTTTTCCGTACAATGGAATTGTATGTTAAGCATTTTTTTCATGTTATTTTTTTTGTGTTTCGCCCTGGTCACAAACATCAAAACTGTTACCACTCAAAATTATAACAAATTAATGTAACTTTGGATCAAAATAACATCCCCCCCCCCCAGACCCCCAGATAGACCAAGTTAAAATCTTCCTCCCCAGCATTTAATTTGCATTAAATTTATTAAGCGCTGCATGTGTAATGCTCGATTCTGATGGGCTAAAAATTCCTAACCAAGTTAACATCCCGCCCCCCAAAAAAACGGTTTTGGGAGGATGTTAACTTGGTCCGTTATTTTTTGAATATAACAACGAGGCCTCTGGGCCTCTGTTTGGAAAAACTCAGACTTTGAAAAATGTGGCCTGTCTTTTGGTTATAATTTGGTTTTATCTTATCATCTAAAATTGAAAAGTACAATTCTGCCATCACAGAGAACCTTCATTGTAACCCTTGAATATTTTATGAATAAGGATTGAGAGTGGACTACGTTATAAGCAAAAACAGAAAATTTTTAGAAAACGTTCTTTTGTTCGTAAACCTGGTTTACCTAATGAAAAGAGAGCTGAAAAATTTTTTCCTCAGATTTTAGTTTTTTAAATGAAAACAAGGCTTAATTTACAATTTTCATAAAATAAATTCTTATGACCAGCCTTTTTATTGTATTGGGTAAACCCAGGCAGTTCAGAGGATTCTGTGTTTCAATCTTCCCGGAAAAATTTTGGAAAAAGAGACAACACTGCAAATTTTTCTTGAAAAAATTTGATACGCAACGATATTCACTCACAGCAAACAGCAAGTTTTGAGTCGAGTCTTGTACTGGGTTAACGGACCAACTACTTTGCACTTATTCCATTTGGCATAATTTCTAGAGTTACAAAAACTTACAAAAAGCTTGCTGCAATTAAATAGCAGGGGCTTATGCATTGAGCAGCATGAATAATTATAAGCCCTCAAAATATGGGCTACAACTGGTTTGGTCTAAGACCCCCGTAATGATTAGTAAAATAATCAAAAGAATTGTTGAAACCTCTATATACAATTCAAAAGAAAAGTAAGTAAAAAACTCAACCCCTAAGTTTTGAGCACACTTTGAGGCATAACTAAAAAGAAGATTCAGGGGGAACCGTCTCTTAGCACAAATATTGATTAGCATGGCCATGTACAAAAATGCAGTTTGAGGATTTGCAGCTACAATTCTGCTCTTTCAAATTTGAACAGCGTGCACCCAACCGAGTTTTTAATTAAACAAACAAATGGTATGGTTTTTGAATTTATTTGAAAATTAAGGCTTGTTGTTTTCATATAAAAGCACATCCAATTACAGCAACTAACGCATGCTAATAGACGTACATGCTAATCGCCCAAAACGTTTAGCTGATTACTAATCAAAAAATAAATTATCTTAAAACCCACACACACATAGAATTGAATTAGTTTTATAGATCAACCATTTTCAAATCATTATATACAAGTGCATATAATGATACATGTAATTCATATATGTATATATTTATATATATATATATATATATATATATATATATATATATATATATATATAACAACTTTTCAACACAACTGGAACATGTTTTCGGAAGTTGGTTTAGCTCTTGACTCTCTCTTACCGAACATCACCCGCGTAAGTCGTCCTCCTCCTCCTCAGATATCTCCAATAGATATCTTAAAAATATATATCTTAAAGTAACTGGCTATATTTGTTAAAATCGTCAATTATTGATTTCGAATAGAACTGAATACACTGGCAGAGCATTGCGATATGCTCAGTTTTTTTGCAAATCTACTAACATATACTTACGATCACTTTGAGGAGGAGGAGGACTTACGCGGATGATGTTCGGTAAGAGAGAGTCAAGAGCTAAACCAACTTCCGAAAACATGTTCCAGTTGTGCTTGAAAATTTTTAGCTTGCTGCGCAGCTACCTCGTCTTGTTTCTGTTTTTTTTTATGACCATAAACCAAATCTCGTTCGGCGTATGAAAAACATTTACCCAAATGTTCAATTATCCATCAATGAAAAAATATTCAATAAATTCAGCGGTACTAAAAAATGTCTACAAAAATTTCAGTCCTTCAAATACAGGTTTCGAGTTTTTTCCAGGCCTTTTTTCAGATCTGTCGCGAATACTAGGCTCTTTTTAACCGGTATGCAGAGTGAGTGTGGACCAACAGCAACCGCATCAGGAGGCAACTGAGCAGAATTAGGCCGTACGTAGGGGTCACTCGCCTGGTACTGTGGCGAAACACAAGAAAGAGCAACAACAGGGATAAGAAAAAAACTCAAAAAACTTATAAGTCTCTAACTTTTCAAAAGAGTAGTTTTTTCGCATCGTGCTTATTTAATTTTTTAGGGAATTTTAAAATTATTGAAATTTGTTAATCTTTGAGTGCCAAATTGTTAATTTTTCTGTGTTTGACAGCACACACGAAACGTAACCACTGTTTGAGCTCAAAAAAAAACCAAGAAACACGATATACTAAAATCCGAAAAATCCAAAATCTTTAATTTTTGACTCAAAATTAAAGTTTTGGTTATTATTGGATATATGTATTTGAAACTGAATAAAATAAGCCCGAATTAATAAGCAAGTTTTTGTGACAATTAGCCTTACAAAAAAAAAAAAATAAGTTTTAGAAAAATTTTTTAAAAATAATTCTTGTATGTTAGGAAAAGAACGGCTGCTTAACTTCCGGCACACTGAAATCTTTTAATCATGCAGGAGTCCAAGCGGTGGGAATATGAGCACCGGAAAACAAGTCAAAGCATGTAAGACACATGAAAAAAAAATCGAAAGAATAGTATGAAATAAAATGCGACACCTTATTTAAAAAACGTGAAAAACAGCCGGTAGAAAAACGTGACATATAAGCAGTACCGAGGCGAGCGGAAAGGAGCGAGGAGAAAACCCGCCACCCACTCCATCGCGCCATTAAAATGAGGTTTTTGACTGTTATCAAAACAGCTCAAAACTTGCATAATTTTAACCACCTCCGTCAAAAAATCCTTCTCATGCTTTTTGATTGAAACTCAACTTGGTATGATGCTTTTGAGAAAACACTAGCTAGTTTATGGCAATACAGTAATTACATGAATATGATGAACAAAATCGGCCCCACTATCTACCCTGCAAGTGAACAATGATATCAGTACCAGACGAGTCTCCGGTCGTTATCAGACACTGGCCTTTAACTTGTCAGACTGGAACTACATGGAAACCGTTGAAATAATGACTCTGAAACTTTGCTGACCTCAAATTAACAAAAACGGATTTCCATACCGTCCTTTGAATTCTAATCTAACCGCCTTTGGGATTTTGTTTATTAATGAATCGAAAACTAGTTTCAATCAGACAAAAACTTACGCTCATTTTTTTAGTAGTTATATCCAGCTGATACTCAAATAAATTGGACCAAGTGTCCAAGTTATTTTATTCAATTTAGGGTCTTTTTGATAATATAAGAAAATTTGCTCAAAATAATTAGGAGTTTTGAGCTGAGGATACTAGCAAAAAAAGGCCGCAAAGTTGTACTGTTATTAATAGCTCACAAGTTTTTCGTATTTTTGCCGTAAGGGAAACAAAAATGATTTTTCACGCCATTGTTAGCAAGGTGGGGGAATTTTTTCAAGGTCGGACGCATAACTACAAAAGGCAAGTTGTGCTGCTTGGCTGCTTATTTCTCATTACTTCAATACATGTTCACGCCCATTCGCGGAGTGAGCGGAGCCAATTTCCACCAAACTCTTCTTCTGGGAAATTATCAGAAGGTTCACACTGTGATCTGAATATTCTGGAGGAAGCATTGCTGGCTACTGCGAAAGTCCAGAATGGTTAGTTGGGGGAGGGGGAGGAGGGTCTTTATTCGCGGCAGCAGATGGAACAAATAACAGAAAAATAAATATGTCCAAATTAGAAAACAATTATCAAAAATCGGAAAGTATCTGTTGCCAATTAAGACAGTTACGAACAGTTTAAAAGTAATCGATTGTTCGGAAACTGTCTGGGATTCGGTGATTCCTTGTCATGAGAATAGAATCTTATAAAACGGACCGGCAAAGTAGTTGTAGCGTCAAAAAATACTTTTCTAGTTAGTTTTCAGCGACTTCCAGAAATAACCAATCTTTTCAGGTTTTTATTTTTCCAACAACTAGACCAAGAAAAATGTCGCAATGTTTCCGTGTTGACGTCAGTTGCATAAAATGGCATTTTATTGTTGTTTAAATGTAAGAAACCGCTTTTTCCCAACCGTTGCTTTAACTTTGGGGTCAAATCGTGGAAACCTGACTGAAATCAAGTCCAACACAGCTAATGGCCCTGAGAAAATGGCCCTTAAAAACAGTTTTAAAAATTGAAACGATTTAAAACATTTTTTAAGGAAAACGCTTTTTCGATAGAAAATTTCCCGGTTTTTGGGCAATTTCTTAGAAACAATATAACAATTTGTTTGCAACTTTTTGATTACTTTTCGGAATCTTCAGCGGCAACGCGTCTCCTAAGCTTTGATTATGAACTACTTTGAAAGCAATTATGAAACGGACTGATAGGACTCATTTGCATAGCAAAATTATATGAATTTCATCCATTCGAAAGCTTTAAAACTAAATTAAT